GGTGCTTTAGGGTGTCTAGATGCTTCTCAATGCCTTAGGGACTTGTCTAGATCCATCCTTGATGAGTGTATCACACAAAAATCCTACATTTATATGTGTTTGTGGTTTGGGTATCTCCCAAAACCATAAACACCTTAAAAGTTGTATAAATGTCCCATAAAAGTCCCATAGTTATTCCTTATGTGTAAATCTAGCCTAGACTATTTCCATGATTGAGCTATGGACTTGAAAAACCCAAATACCATAAACTTATGAGTTTAAGGTAGTAAACTCATGGAGAAATGGTCCTTAGACCGTAAACACCATTTAGGAGTGTTTTGATGCCACACAACACTTCCTAAGGCTTAAACATGAAGTAGAAATGCTTGGATTGGCTTAGAAGTCTTCAAAGCAACAATTGGTCAAAAGGTTAGGATATTACTGCCGTAAACTCAAGAGTTTATGACCGTAAACTCAAGGGGTGTTGGTCTTTAGGGAGTAAACTCATTTTGGGGGTTCCTTTGAACCCTAAAACCCAATAGCCTTGCCCTACAACACTTAGATGCAACCCTTGAGACTTATAACACTTGTATAAGGTGTTTAGCATGTCCTAGAGTGACTTAACTTTGTTTATTAGTTGTTTAAAGACTAATGGTATACATATATGTGATATTATATGTTTACTAGGATCATAGAGTGTGTTCAAGACTTCACTTGACACCTAGCCATCCTACTTCTTCAATTCATCTATATCACTCACAATAGGTGAGTTCATACCCCCTTAATCAATGTTTTAAATGATTTTAAATGCTTTAATGGGGGGGGGGGGAATACAAGTAGAAAACAACATATTATTAAATCACTCATATGTATTTATAACTGTGTTTTCATCCAGCAGATTTCACATACTTCAAAATGTGATGCATGAAATGGTTTTCTATCTTAAAAATACATTGGTAGCAAAAGTATTACGTTTGAAATGTTTATTAAAATGACATCAAGTCATTGTTAATTATTGTTCAAAACTCTTAGATGTCTTACAAAACCATTTTTACCTTCTTGGACAAAACTATATCTATGCACTTATGTTCTTATATATGTATTGATGTTATAGTCTTCAACCTTAATTCAGTTTCCCACACTCTTCGGTAGCAAGGGTGTATAAACCTGCTTGGATAATTAATTACCTTCCAGTTAACTATTATAGGGATAGTTAGGAGATACTAAACCTTATTCCTATTACAAGGAATTACACCAGAGTCAGTTCATTCATGAGTCTATACGATACATTACATGTTACATCAATATGTCTACATAGATACACTTACATGAATACATTTACATATATACATTTATTTGTATGCACTTACATGGATAATTGTACCTAGATTTACTAGGATAATTTACTAGTACATTATGTGTAAATTTTCCTGCCTATCCCAGTTCAATGGGATGTCTAGACGGGACTAACCATTCCAGAAACCACCTGTTAGCAACAGTGGTTGATGAACATCTACGGATGTCTACAATTATTACTTATATTAGGGGTACCTTTACGGGACTAACCATTCCTTTAGCCTACTGTTTGCTATAGAGGTAAATGACCATCTATGGATGTATACGGTTAATACTTATATTAGGAGTACCTTTACGAGACTAACCATTCCTTAAATATGTTGCAGCTACAGAGGAAAATGAACAATGTACGGATGTTCAAAGGTTATACATTTCGCTAGTCGCGATGTCGTGTTGATCCTAATACAAAAGGATAACACTTACATGATTATATTTTTCCTATTACTTTATTTCGTGATACATTTACGTAACCGATGAGTTAGAGTAAGTACTATTAGTAATAGTCAAAAAGAAGGAAAAACTATCATTTTTATAGCAAAACACTCGGGTCTTGGTAGAAGACTACATTTCATACTGATAGGAAATATGGGATTTTCTAGGGTTTTCATACATATATCAACTGTTTCATTTAAAGATTTACATGGCATTCATAACAGCTTTCCAAAACAAGGCAGTGACACTGAAATACTTATGAATTCACCAGCTTTTTGGCTGATACTCACTTTCAAAATAACTTGTATTCTTAGGTCACAAATAGCCAGGTACGATGACCAGGTTCTGTGAAGACGGAGAAATCAAGACTCCTATTTTATTTTGATTATTCGTTATGTTGTCTTATATTATGAAAGAACACATGTATTAAAACTTTACTTATAATGCAATGGATGATGTTGTTGCTTGTTTACTACTTTACACTGTTGTGATATTGTACATGACGTCGTCCACCCCGGAACGTTTCCGCCGTTCTTGGTTTTGGGGTGTAACATTGTGCGTACAGCTTGCATGGCTTGTACGTTACACGTACTTGCGTGTACGCCCAACGTACTCCCCTGATGAGCCATATTCTTCAAAATTTCTTAATACCTTAAGAAACAACTTCCAAACTTCAGATCTAAGTCTAAAAATCCTTCTTAACCTATAAAGTTGATCACTTGGTGGCTTGCACCCAACCAAATGAGATCAACTTGGAAAAATAGCAACTATCTTCATGAAATTGGCTAGATCTCTTGCATGGATGCAAATGGGCCTTAAAGATTGCAACTTTACTGCTTAAGGGACTCAAATAACTTCATGGATAGCAACCCTAAGTCCAAATGCAGATTCGTACCATAAAATTCCATTCTTGAAACCAAAAAGGGACAATATCCATGAGAACTTAGATCTATGATGTATAAGCACCAAGAAGAGAACTTTATACCTTCAATAGGGTGGAAATGATGTAAAACCTCTGTATCTACAAGCTCTCTTCAATCTCTTGCTTCTTCTCTAAACACCTTCTTCTTCAAAAATACCAAAATACTCCTCTAATGGCCATCCAAGCTCCAAAATCACTCAAATGAGGGCTAAGGGTCGATTTCTAGGGTTTAGAGGGTGGAGGCTAAAGGTATTAGGGTTAGGTTATGAGATAAGGAGCTTAAATAGGGTCCAAGACCCTAAAATATGGTTCAAGTCTGATTGGCGTACGCCCAATGTACATATGGTACGCCCAACGTACCTCGAAGAACATTCGCGACCATCCTGGTCAGTATGCCCAACGTACTCCAAAAGTACGCCCAACATACCGCCTTCTTCAAAAGTACGCCCAACGTATTCTCTGTGTACGCCCAACGTACTCGGCTAAGCCTGAAACCACTAAACTTCCGAAGGGCATAACTTCTTCGTTATAAGTTCGTTTTCGAAGATCCTTATATCCATGAAAAGTTAGCGAGAAGCCCTTCACTTATATAAACTCATATCTTCCTAAATACCTTCCGAAAAAAGTCCATTTTCCGCAAAATCCCAAACTGACACTTCACCGAAATACCCCTAGGCTCCAAAACACAAACTGAACATCCGGAATGCTTCTAATGCATCGCTCGCACCTAAAATAGCCTAGATCTTAAACTTTTGAAAAGCCATACTCCTTATGATGACCTGCCTTCGGGCCACAACCTCAGACTTGGAGTCAATTCAGAACTGGGCGTTACAACTCTCCCATACTTAAATTAGATTTTGTCCTTGAAATCATTCGTTACCATCCCCGATATACTAGACGACCTGAACAATACAACCACAAACCCGAAAATACCATAGCCTTCCCAAGGTATGAGTTCGATAATGATCGATCTTCCTGACGGACCGCCTATTCCCTACCTACCATGACGAAACCTCATCGAGTAACTGACCAATGCACATTCCCCATTGCTGATCACCAATATTCACTACTAGAAAAAAAGCCTTTTACGACGCTCATTGCGCGTCGTAAAAGGCTCAGACGACGCGCAAATGCGCATCAAGGAAGGCCCTGTCATAAAGAGAGACGACGCGCATTTACGACACTCATTTACGATGCGCCATTACGACGCGCGTTTACGACACGCAATGCGTATCAAGGAAGACCCTATCATAAAGGAAGACGACACGCATTCGCGTGTCGTAACCTTACGACATGCATGTTAATGACACGCAATACGTATCAAGAAAGCCCCTGTCAAGAAAGGCCATGTCATAAATGAAGATGACACACATTTTTGCGTATCATAATTTTAAATGTTTACAAAAAAATAGTATTTATAGATTTACTTATTTTCAAATAAAATTTGTATTTAATGTTTCATAATAGAAAATAAAATATCATATACAAAAAATAGAATCCATTGCATAAATTTAATGTCATACAAATAATCGTTCCATGGAAAGATAAAACAAATCAATAGAAGTTGTAATAAAAATTTACAAACTAATAGTTCTAATAACCTAATGTGTGCCTCACTGTAAACAAGATTTGTGCTGATTTTTTTAAATGTGCCCCTCACTTGTCTCCACTCCTCCTTAGTAACACCGTTCAAGGACTCTAAATGTATGAACTTGCTCAAAGTATCTATATTGCCTGCAAAAAAAAATAAAATAACTACAAAATAAGTGTGAAGATGGATTATTACAGTGTAAGAGAAGTAAAGAACCTTGAGCTTCCTCCAATGGGACACATGGGTAGTCAGAATTGATACACTTTGCAACACGTATATCTCCAATGCAAGATCAACATTAAGGTAATGGGGAACAACGTCACCTAAAATCATATAATATTTATATACCCCTAGACTAGATAGAGCTTTGCAACAAATAGCAACCTACTTTATTTACCCTGTTTACCAAACAAATGTATGGGAAAGGAACCTACTTTACTTTCTCTTATGGTATATGAACAGGATTAGGATTGGTTGTGTTTGCTATATTTTGGTAGAGGGCATTCATTCATTCATTCTCATGTGATTTGCACATAGAAGACATTAGATTTAGATGAGAGCTTTTTGGGTTTGGATGATAAAATAAAACTTAATAAATGAATGAATGAATGAGGATGACCTTTGATCTAAACTGAAGAGCTGGATCGGTACTTCAGGAAATAAGCCTAGCAAGTGGAAGCATCTCATCAATTTCAGCATGTGGAACCTCAAGCCTCATTCTCAGCGACCCATAAAAGATATCACACTCCCTAAATGACCAGCCATTTCTCTTCTTAGTAAGTTCCCTTTTCCTGTTTCTTTTCCAGCTCGTGACCTGGGCAACACGTATTCGCCTTGAAGCTCATACTGGCTATTGCTTTGTTCCAAAACAACCTTCTCAACAGTTATCTGAACCAAACTAACATTAAACTATCAAAGGAAAAACTAAATATATAACTATTATTTGAAACAAAACATCTGATTTAACTCAACTACTAACCACATCCCTGCTCCATCTAGCAACCAAGTCTAGAGCTTCGCCTAACACACCGTTGAACCTTGGATGTAACAAAGAAAAGATTCCATGGTCGCTACTTTTCTGAAATTAAGTTGCACTTCTGCCTGAAACAAAAGGAACAAACAAACCACTTAAAACCTGCTAGATATAGTCAACAAATTTACCAACCAACAAAACCCCACCCAACTAATCCTACTTAACACTACAATCCTCCAACCATTCTTTACCAAGTGTTACTATAGTGTTGACTAGACACTCAACAAGGGAATGAAATTAACCACTAAAAATAACTAAAAAGAAAAAGGATAAAGAAGCAACTAGTTTCTTATTTTCCCATCAACTGTGTGTTGTCTGGTCCGGATAAATGATGTTTAAACTTTTTCACTTTGGTAGAGGAAAGGAGGATGAAACACATTGAAATGATTATTACCTGCTGAAGAATAGGAGCTGTTGCGGCAGCTGCAAATTTTGAAATGAACACATAAATGGTAAGAAAAAATCACGACAAATTCTTATACAAACCAAAAGAAAATGTTGTTGTATCAATCTACCAACCTTAACTTAGATATCTCTTTTCTTGTTTATAAAAGTTTTTTTGATGAAAAGTTAGAAAATGGTAATGTTGTCAAAGTCACATTTTAAACCCAAATCAATTGACAAAAAATACAACAAACCAAACAGAAACATAAAAAAGTATGAAATTGAAATTATTCCCATTTCTGCCAACCAAAGGTGGAATAGATTGGAATTCCTTCAAATTCCAATTCCTTTGACAGATTCCAGATCCTTCTAAACAATCAGTCCGTAGCATAAAATTTAGAGTGGTTAGAGGCTATTATTGTTAGTATAGTTATGAAGTCATCAGCTGCTACCATTAAGATTAGAGTGGTGGCCGGAAACACAACTCAGTTACTTTATGCTTGCTTCTTGAAATCGGTCGGTAGCATAAGATTTCCAATTTTTTTTCTATTCTTTCATGATCTCTTAATGTGTTTCTGTTTTGGAGAAAGTACAATAAATATTGGAGGGAGGGAGGGAGGGAGGGAAGGGGCTTTCTGCACTATTTATTTAAGAAGTAATTTAATTTAATAGATGTAAGTGCCACATGACACTGAATCCGTTACTATATCATAAGATAAAATAGTAATGCTTCTTTCATCCCAATTATTTGAAAGCATGATGAATTAAACGATATATATGTATTGATGCTTAGGGAAAATAATTTATTTGTTTAGTTTCTATACTTGCAGTATATATGATGACATGCTAAATTTGTTCAGACCTGTACAAATATAAGACCAGCTAAAGATGAGGAACTTCCAAACCCCTACATAGAAGAGTACCGATAACCCTCCTCTTGTCTAGATAGATATCTGTAATTGTGTCTGTCTAGATTTCTTTGAATACTCCTTTCTTTTTTTAGTAGTGTTAATTGACTCATGAATGTTTAGCTAAATGAATCCACACGATGTTAGCAGTACAAAATTCTTGATATTGTGCAAAAATGATGTGTGGTGTAACCCTAAACCCTGAGTTGGAAAACATGGTAGAATGTTGTTCTTCAGTATGAGGAAATAGGTTGTTATTTTATATTGCTCCTTGCAGTTCAGTTAGTTATTGTTTCTCTTTCCTAAGGATATGGCTATGGCTATGGCTGATGGCATCAGTTGGTCAGGCTATTGATTTCATAGTGCATTTCCGCAAACAAGTGCCAAGTAGCCCCTCTTTCTTTCGTTGTACACAACTACAAATTAGTCGGTGGTTGAAATAAAAATACTATAACTTATCTATAATTTTTCAGATTGAGTTTTCAATTGAGAAAGAAAATAATTTTAATCCAAACCCACCCACCACCCCAATCCAATTACCGATCTCTTAAACCTTATTTTCAATTGAGAAAGAAAATAAATTTATTACTACATAACACAATAAATTTGTGTAGGCAACTTAAGAAACAAGTCACAAACCTTATTTTCCGAGTATCCTTTGCAGCCTCTGTGGTATTGACAAGCTCAGCCTCCACCTCCACCCAAAACTTTTGACTTACACCAGTGTATTTGGAGAGGAGTGACAAGTATTGTATATGATACTACAAATGGTAAATCTAGTAGCACAGTGTACATCCTCTGTTATCTTCTTCCAGACACCAGTGTCTCCCATCAACACACTTGGTAAAATTTATAAATATGGATACTGCATATATAGTACAACTTGCATGTGCCACTGGCTACTATCTGCAGAATTTTTTTAAAATTATTTTAAATAATGGAAGCAAAACAGATGGGAGTTTGTTTTAAACATAAAGAGAGGAATAAAATTTACTTATTTCTGTTGGAAATATTTATGGCTTCTTCCTAGCTATCGGCCTGAGAAATAAAAAAGGTGAAATTACAAAATTAGCCCTCAAGAGAATGAACACAATCAGTTAATTACGTATCATATATATATATATATATATATATATATATATATATATATATATATATATATATATATATATATATATATATATATATATATATATATATATATATATATAGAAAGTATTAAAAATATAAGCAAAATTTTAAATAACTTTACTGTTTTCTCAAATCTGCAAGAATATGTTGGCACTGATGACTTTGACCTTCTTAAAGGTTCTCTCAATAATGTTCCATGGGTTTGGATTGGAGATGATTTTGTAACTATTGAAGCTCTTGCTTTTGATTCACCTGTAAAATACAGTCCATACTTGTATGTTGTCCCATCTGAATTATCTGTTTTCAGAGATTTGCTTCTTGCTCTTGGAGTTCGCTTTCTTTTGACCTTTTTTACTATGCTAATGTTATATTTATGTTACAAAAAGATGTGAAAGGGTCACCACTTTCAGAAGATCTGTTGAGTTTTGTCCTTTGTGTTCTAGAAGCTGTTTCAGATTGTCAATCAGAGAGATCAATGTTTGAATAATACTTCTTAAAGGTTCTCTCAACAATGCTCCATTGTTGGTGCCTGATTCTCGAGGGCTTCTCATGGCTGCATGGGATGTGATGTATAATGATCATGCACCTTGGTTTGATAATAATACCCCTCTGGGAAAACATATCATACAGGGTCGTTTGAATGTACTGTCGAACAAGCTTACACCTGGAGTGAAGTTCGTCTGAATGACCTCTATTTTCCTTAGTTCTACCTGGAGTGAGGTTCGTCTGAATGACCTCTATGGGGGCAAAATGTAAAAGCTAGTAGACTCACCTATTGCTTTAACCAAAAACACCACCATTTTCCCTGAAAGAGATCCTTTCAAGCAGCTTGTCCATTAGATTTTATATGCATCAGCAACATAAACACAGCCCTAGGAACATCTAATAAAGTCAAGATCACTTTGATTCATCCAAACATAACAATAGAAACACATAAAATAGAATTATAGATAAATTTACTAAAATAAATGAGTGTATAGAGAATTATTACATCAGGAAATCATAGCAAGAAGTGCACAAAACCGGAAGTCATATATCACATGTTCAGTAGTAGACATGGAAACAAATGGATGTATTACAAGACTGCAAGAGAATCCATGGTCATTCATTTTAGATAATTACATTAGGATTGATACTAATTTCATGGACCACCTCATTCTGGATGAATTTGGTGAAGAACCTCTTAGCTTCAGTACTGTCACCATAGTTTTAACAGTTTCACAACTTTTTTTCTCTCTTTGGCATTTCTACAAACACTTTATGTGCATATTTCTTAAGCATGTTATGAACCTCTACAACCCAATTGTTAGCATCATTCTAGTCAATTCCTTTCTTAGCAACCTCTCTAACTTCCTCTCTTGGGGGGTCCAACATTCCAACCTTAAAGTAAACAAATAGGAACCCAACATTTTTGCTTTCTGATACAAACCTCCATTGTTCCTCAAACATTAGTTTATTAGCAACTGTTACAATCATACATCATACAGACTAAGATTTTTCCAAGAAGGTCCGAACAATCATAATATAATCACAAAATATGTAAATAGAGAAACAAAGATATACAAATAGAAAAATAAGGATTGTAGTACCTGTTTAGCCTTAATCACATGCCAATCGGAGTTGAGGGCTTTGAGAACTGGAATCGGACCATATTTGAGCTGGTTGACCATATTTTTTCTAACATTTGTGTGCATAATACTCGAAATTCAGAAACCCTAGATGTATAAACAACACTTCGTGAACCCCATAAGAAAAGATAAGGAACTCATAATTCATGTGTGTTTGCGAAGGAAGGGGGGGAACGAAAGAGTGTTAGAATGGAAGTCTATTTTGATAAAATACAAAGATGATGATGGCAATTTGTTGACTATAACATGTACCTGTGAGCTCAGATTAGCTGAATTGATTGCAGATGGCCTTGCGCTTCCAAATAAAGAACCCTATACCTAAAAATTCGACTTATTTGGGGTTTTTAAATTGCATATTGTCGAGGTTACCCCTGAGCAGGAACCACCATTGTTAGAAGAAGTAGAAGAAGACAAAGTGGAAGAAGAAAACCCGGTTGAGATCGAGAGTATTGAAGTAGAAAAGAACGGGACCATTCCGATTTTGAAAGTGAACAAAACCGGAAAAGGAATCTGAAAAAAATACCCGATGATCCAGATTTGAAATAAGTTGAAATGGAAGAATGATTGTTTGAATTTGCTCAGTTATTTTGAACCCTCGCACGTACTAGGTTGAGAGAAAACGAGAGAAGCAGAAGCTTGAAAGAAAATAAAACCCTACCACGTGCTAGAGAGAAGGGAGGTGGCGATGGCTTAGGGTTTACAGAGATACGGGAGGTAGAGAATGAAAGGAGATCTAGAGGAGAGAGTATCAGAGGGGTGAGTCAATTGCAAGGATGAAAAATAGATAGAAGATAGAAAAAACGAGGCGGGTTTTCAAAATTTTGGGGATTTCCTTTCCCCCTTGTCTACTAAAAGCGCGTTTCATTAAAATTATAAAGCGACAGGTACAGACGACGCGCGTTTAAGATAAACCGCCCTCCGTGTTTTTATTTTTTTTCTTGAGACACTAAATTAAGGGCACGCAATAATGCGTGACGTAAATCCTTAAATTTTTTGGAGAGATAACACTATTTTATGGGCACGTCCTTTTGCGTATCATTAATCAGTGCGTGTCGTAAAAAGCGCGTCATTAAAGGTCTGTTTTCTAGTAGTGATTGTCCGATACTCTGAAACTACCCACAACACAGAATTGCCTGAAACATTGAACTTCCTAAAACACTGAACTTCCTGAAACACTGAACTATCTGAAACACTGAATTGGCTGAAACACTGAACTATCTGAAACACTGAACTATCTGAAACACTAAACTGCCTGAAACGCTGAACTATCTGAAACACTAAGCTCCCTGAAACACTAAACTGTCTGAAACACTGACCTGCCTGAACAACACGATGCTACTTGGCTGCTTCCCCAAGGTCCATCGGGACCTCCCTGGTTCCAGCCTGTCTGGAATACGGACGCCCCATCCGGTTGCTGAGTCAAGAGTAATCTCACAGTCGCCCGATACGACTTCTAAGCGTAATTCTTTTTATCAACAATTTCCACAAGTTCTCTTGCCACCGTGGCTCTAATGACTTGGTGATCTACTGATCGAGTCCATATGTCGAGTCCTAACATTAACAAATTCCAAAGCTAAAAATGACTGCTACGCGACCAATGGTAGCCTTATATCTCAAACAACGTTAAACAACCCATTGCTTCTTTGATCTCATTACTATAATGATGATCCCATGGTCTCATCACTGGCCCAAATAAGTCTAATTCATCTGGAGAAATCTATAACCATTTTGTGTATTTGCCACACCCTCACTACTGCACCTGAACTGGTGGGTACTACTGTTCTCCTCATGATCTGCCATAAATCCCATACTACCTGTCACCCTACTGAAATCCATGACAATCATCGCAGGTTTACAACACTCTATTGTTATCTGACAACTTGGTGAATGCTATGGCTGCACCCACAGACTTACAACATTCTAACACTATCTGGTTGGTAGTGAATGCTACGGCTACACCCGCAGACTTACAACACTCTGACACTATCTGGCTGCTAGTGAATGTTACAGCTACACCCGCAGACTTACAACACTCTTACACTATCTGGCTGCTAGTGAATGCTACAGCTACACCCGCAGACTTACAACACTCTAACACTATTTGGCTTCTAGTGAACGCTACGGCTACACCCGTAGACTTACAACACTCGAGCACTATCTAGCTGCTAGTTAACGCGACGGCTACACCCGCAGACTTACAACACTCTAACAAAATTTGGCTGCTAGTGAATGCTACGGCTACACCCGCATACTTACAACACTCCCACATTATGTTGAGCACACACTCGACCTAACACTCAACTACACTTGAGTCTTAACTGGGGCTCTAACCTAGTTCCTAAAACCTGCTTCCCAAAGCCAAGGAAAAGCATAAACCAATTGTTGGAACGTTTTCTGAACTCCCAGCTCATCCAATCCTCAATCAAGACGACGTGTCAACCGTCTCCCATTCTGACGGAAAAAAATCTCTAGCCTAGTTTCCCGGCCAGTCATCAGCTAATCGTGCACACACGAACTCAACTTCGGGAAGTTTTCCCCAACTCCCTGCTCACGCGCTCCTCTATCTAAACAAACACTGGCGCTGCTTTCCTCCTCAACAATGATGCAAACCCAATCCAGTCTCACACTTACTTTTACTTCTGACCACTCGGGTGGTTCTCCCCCACTTTGATTCCACTAGCTCCTTATAGCTTACAACTTGAAAAGGATTCTCAATACTGTTATCCATTTAATGGCCGATCTGCTGACAACCAATACTTACTATTGCTAGTGCTTCAGTACTAGCCAGTCCAAAAGATCACACCACCTCCAAGAACCTGAAAAAAAAATCTCCGGTAATGACCTGCTAATCCCAGGAAGCTCCGAATCTCAATTGGAGACCTCGAAATCTCCCACTGCATCACAGCCTCTATCTTCGCTGGATCGACTAGAATACCCTTCTAATTGATAAGGTGCCCAAGAGATTGCACCTCGTGCAACCAGAACTCACATTTGGAGTACCTTGCAAAAAGTCTCTCCCTCCTCAAAGTCTCTAGCACCTCCCTCAGGTGCTTCTCGTGCTGCTCCTCAATCTTGGAATAAACCAAGATGACATTGTACTCTCCCAATCCTGCAATTTGGGAAATGATCTTTCGATATCCACTAATAATTCTCGGTATGCAATTGGCATATGCCATTTCTTGGAAGTATAATTCAAACACAAACAGAGGATAAACCAGAGTCACACTTACTCAAACCCTTGGAACGAAAGGCACCCTTGTGCAGTTTCCTGCAAGTGCTGCACCAAATCTGGTCCTGCTGGTCCCTCGATAGCTAATCCTAATTATAGGGTCTCCTCCCGAGACCTTTCAATATAAGCAACAGATCTGGTTCCTTCTTACTAACATGCTCCAAGTCTATATCCCGTTCTCAAGCTCTATAAGTCATATCATTCAGGGTCTTGCACCCCGAAATACTCATGATCTCCCTGATATCATTCTACAGTATGTTTTGATAACTTAGCTTCTTCATTTCCTCATTTGCTACATACTGTGGTACCATATAAGCTCTTTCCCGAGATTTGGCAGTGATATCTTCCACAGTCTTAGTCGTCTGGTGGAGATCTAACAACTCTTGCACCAACTGTTGTGCCTCATTCGCCTGGGCACACTCTGCCCAGAATCTGGTCTAAAAGTCATCCCATGACATAACATCAACCGTATCATCACTCAACCTTCTACCAACCTCTTTCTATCAATCTCGTGCTTTGACCCTCAGGAGACAGGAAGTAAGTCAGATCTTGTCTCCTTTCGAGACAACATCTGGTACGGAAAGTGTTGGTTACATCTGCCAACATCTGCTGCTAACAATGGGGTCCCTAACCCCCATGACAATCTGAAGCCTCACAAACTCTGAATTCCCGAAACATCAACATATGGGTCCCTATCATGACTGCTATCTCAGTGCAGATTGCACTCACCCTCTCATCACAAATCTCTATAATGACCTCCTTGATCATACTGAGGATCACAGGAGTCTAGTCAATGATACTGCACGTAATCTCAGATGGAATGAACTCCCTCATCTGATCATAGATCTGCCCGACTACAAAGTCCGAGCCTGATCCCTCGTCGACACCAGAATTTCCCTCTGGTCTACCATGTAGCATCACTATACTCGAGAACATACCAACACAATCTTCATAGTACTCATCATAACTCGAGGGATCTCACACACTAAAATTTCCCTGGGTGCATCTCAGCCTTCCTTGGTTCGAGTATGGATCCTCTGCTTTCAGTAGTATGGGCCCATACTACCTTCCACATCTATCCGTACTTTCAACAAGAACTGCCTTGACTCCACCAAGTCCCTTCTGCTTCTACTGCTCTCTACTACTCTCATCCTAGGCTTGCCCTAGGGTAACCTCCAAACCGCACCCAATCCTCAGCTACTGAAGGTACCTTCGTAATGCAAATTAGCCATTACCTTAATTCCATCACATGTGATGAGACTCAGATAATCCTTTGAGTAAAGGACTCGTCCCTACAACGGTTAGACTCATACGAGAGTTGCGCAATAGAGCCAAATCCAACACTTTGAGATTATTCAACCCTGATCACATGTGACTTGACGTATTCATCTAATGGCTAACTCCCTTCACTCAGAGTCCCACAAAGCACAAAGCAAGTAGTATTCAGAAAAAGGGAAAGTCTAACCACATAATCCAATCATATTGTTCTCTCCCCTACTCAGGAATCTATACATCCAATTCAAAGGCTCATACAATCAGGCATAACCTAAATAGGCTATCTTATCACTAACTGATCAGTACTAGCATGCAAGTCTACAAGCACATACAATAGGCATATAAAGCATCTCTTCCTAGATCCTTAGCTCTACTCTAGCATGCAGTTCTCATATCCATAACATAACATAACATAAACTTGTATGGGTAATTTGGGAGTACTTACTTGATCTTGGTTGATTACATGCACCATACCCTTTTCTCTTTTCAAAATTCTTTTCCTTCTTAAAATTTCTTTTTGCTTTTTTCTAAAACTCTT